ATATATATATAAATAAATACACTGGAATTTCCCATCCGTGGGACAATAAAGGCTATTTCTATTCTATATGTACATGAGTGAACTTACCTTGTGACTTCTGTTCTAACGTTCGTCTCCTTTCCTGCATGTCTTTCTCTGGGATTCCCTCCATACCATAGATTTCCAGTTCTATGTCTGTTCTGCCGGGAATTGCGTTTGGTACACTGTCAATGGTCTCTTTGTGTACCTATAACGCAAGCAAAGAGACACAGGTCAATCTGTAGCAACAAGCACCATGACTTGACCATATTTAGCCTATAATCTTCTAATTTTATTGCACTGGAATAAAGTTTCGTACCTGCATGCAGTGGATAGCCAAACCGGGCCCAGTGTATAATTTCTTGTGGCAAATATGGCATTTAAAATGCTTTGCCTTCTGGTGCTGAATGAGGATCTTCTCATCATCAAAGTCTCGATTGCAGTACCTTCAGGAGAAAGTTAAGGGATGTTGTCTCGTGTTTATCAGATATTATGCGGATAAAGATAATGGCTGGATAAAGCTGATAAACCAGATCACCGGAGTACGTTCGGTTCCTGGATTAGAAGCTACCGGTGGCTAACAACAGATTAGCTAACGTCGGAAGTAAAAGGTTTCCTTTAAATATTTCTAAACAGTAAAAACAACAAGGTGATTATATATATATATAAACACTCGACGACGAAACATTTCACCTATATGAGATATTATAAAAGACTAAACTTTAACCATTTATGAAATTCAAACACGCTCGTTCGACTAGCGTTAGCTTATAATGCTAAGAGAAGCACGCGCGGCATAGGCCTCGATTTTTAAAAAGTAACTTCTTTCCGTTTATTTTACCGTATTTTGCAAAAGGATACCAGCACCATGGTTTCATCTGCTTCTTCTTCTTTCGCCCCATTGTGCGTAAATACTGAAAAGGAGGTCACAACACACTAAATCTTGGTCTTATTATCTGTTCGACAACAGCATGCTGTCATTCCGCGAAAAGACCAAAAATGGCGCCTGCTGCTCGGAGGAAGTAGTTTCCTCTGCAGAGTCATTGAACGCGACACGCCTCAGGTCCTACACGAAAACTGAGCTGATTCTTCTGAGCTTCTCTGACCAAAGTCTCATTACTCTTACGATAGAAAACGAAGATATCACTGTACCAAAGTACGAAATTCATAGTCTTTATATTTTTTGTGTGACTCGTGAATTGTAAGTTAAGATCTGAACTTAAGTTAAGTTATTCAGTACACTTTTTATTGCTTAACAAAACTGGTCTTCAAAATATTTTTCTTACATAACATTCCTTTTTTGGCCTGAAAACAGGGCCCTCACGTCTTCAAAATGTTCAGTCAATGTTTCATTTAGTCATTTTCTGTAAAGAGCCCCAACTTCAGCTGTCATATTGCTTTATCACTGGGTGTCAAACTTCCACCGAGGGCCACATCAGCGTAATGGTTGCCCTCAAAGGGCCAGATGTAACTGTAAGACAGTATAAATGTAACAAATTTTAACTAAGTGTAATGTAAAATAAACACATAATCTTAAATGACTCTGAATTTTTTTACTTATTC